GTGTAACCCACCACTTTAACAGTCTGAAGGAAACCCACATCGTATGAGTTGATGAGTTTTGTCAAATGATTTTCCGGACTCAACAAACTCTTAGCAAACTAGAAATTGGAGGAAATTTTCTTACCTTGGTAAAAGGTAGTTTACAAGAACCTACATCGAACCTTATGCTCGTGAAAGACTAATGACCCCCCCCAATACTGGGAACAAGGCAAGCCCACCCCACTACTCCTATTCAACATTATACTCAGTCTTGACCAGTGCAGTAAGGCACAGCAACTGGTATAAATTGGAAAGGAAGAAACTGTTCTTGTTCACAAGACAACATTGTCTATATAGAAAATGCAGTGGAATCCACAAAAACAAATCAGTAAAACCCAAAACATCCAAGAATTAATAAAATTGCTATAGGATCTGAGGCTAACACACCAATTTTGTTTCTTTATACTAATAAAAAAAACTGGGAATGGAAGTGTTTTTAAAATACCATTTATAGTAGCTCCAAAAAACATGAATTTAACAGAAAATGTGTAGTAGAATTGTAGTTAAAAATTAAACTAACAAAATACAGAATCTAAATAGGCCTACTGGGTGTGTGAACTCAACATAGAGCAAGGATGTCAGTTCTCCCAAAATTTACCTACACATAGTTCCAATATTTTCAGAAACAGTTTTTGTTGCTGCTAGAACTTATGTGAAAAGGCAAAATAACAAAAATAGCAATTTTGAAAAGCTGAGAGAAGTGGGAGGAATCACATTCCCGGTACTTCTGATAATGGGTCTTGCCTAGGGCCAAATAGACTAGTGGAACGGAAAGAGACCCAGGTAAACACAGCCAAGTGATTTTTGGCAAATTTGCAAAAGCAATTAGAGAAAGGAAGTCTCTTAAACGGTGTTAGATCAGTCGGACATCCATATTTAAAAAAAACTCAATCTAAACCTCATACTTTATACAAAAATTATCTCAAACTTTATCATGTAGTTATGCAGAAAGTAAAACTCCAAATGTCTTATAAGAACACACAATTTTGGTGAGTTTGGGTTAGAAGAGTTATTGCATTGCATCTCATAGTGAACAGTTGAGTAAGGTCAGCTGTGAGGGCTGGAGGGCTCGCTCCCCAGCCTTGTGCCTTAAGGAAGCGTTTAAGACATGCTTCTGATGGTGCAGGAGTGAAGTCTGATGGTAGTGAGGTAATATTTAACTTAAGGTTACCATTCATTGAGCACTTACTGTGGGTCAGGTACTGTTCTAACTGAATCTCTACAACATAGGTACTATAGAACTACTCATTTTTGAAATTGAGAAGTCAATGCACAGAAAAATCGATAATTATGCCAAGATTAAGTTCCACGAGTGGCAGAAAAACTCAGATCGTTAATTTTCATGGCTCCTATAACACAGTCTGTTTTCAGGACGTCTACTTTTCCATTGTGGGTTTTATTCTCAGTCCACCTGCAGGTTGCTGAATCTGCTGTTGAATCCTAGCACGACATTAACCCACTTGAGTCTATTTAGTGCCATCTTGTGTCTGGAGTGGATTTTGCAGGAAGGATTGCTTCAGCATGAAGACTGGGTACCAGCAGGCAAGCTTGGATTTTGCATGTCAAAATTGGATGCCAAGTCAGTGTGATCAGGAACTTGAATTGGACATGAACTTTCTGGTACACACTTCTCGAGTGAGATCAGTTCGTACAGTTTTGGGGAAAATGAAGTTGGTGGTTAACTCTTCATTGGTCTTCTTCCTTCTGTAGTAGTCTCCCAACTTCTAGACATTCATGCCCTAATAAACCTTGAGCAGTTAGAGACATTTATTCCTAGCTTATCTGTTTTCAGGGTTGGTCCTCTCCATAGGCTGTACTTTCCAGAAATTTGAAGAGCCCATTTATCTTCCTGTGCCATTAAGTTGATATGTATATATTAGAAAATGCTAAAATGTACTTCAAGATTGGCTTTTCAACAGTGAAACTGAGAACTGGAAAAGGGCTGTGGGGCCAATTCCCCTTCCCTAGAGTCTTGACCCTTTGATCTTGGGAGGAAAAGTGGGGAAAATGTGGGCAGGATGTGCTGAATTCTCTCGGCTCCTCCATGAAGTTGGGGCTGCATCTCTCGGAAGGAGGATGGATGGGGACGAGTCAAAGATTCTAAAATCAGCTGGGTGTGTTGGCACAAGCCTGTAATCCCAGTGGCTCAGGAGACTGAGGCAGGAGGATCACGAGTTCACAGCCAGCCTCAGCAAAAGCGAAGCACTAAGCAATTCAGTGAGACCCTGTCTCTAAATAAAATACAACACAGGGCTGGAGATGTGGCTCAGTGGCCAACTGTCCTGAGTTCAATCCCTGGTACCCACTCCCTTCGCCCCTGCCAAAAAAAAAAAAAAAAAAAATACTATGAAAAAAGCATCTCGCAACCTTACTCAATCTTATTTTTTCCCCTTTTACATATTGTTTACTTTCCTATTACAGAAGTGATTTTCGTACTTGAAAATGGGAAAACAGGAGTAGGAAAAAGTACATCCAAAGACCATATATTCAGTCTTAATGCTTAATATTTTATGAACTTTCCTGCTAGGTACAAGGATTTGAATGTTTCATTGAATTGATACACTTTTATACCTGCTTTTTAATTATCAAACATTTTATTGACTGGGGCATAGCTTTGAGTTCTGGAACCTGGCTGGTCACAGTGTTGATTGATTGACTTTATTTTTTTTTTAAAAGCTAGTCATGTGCCAGTGATGAAGACTTGGTCACATTCCTTCACTTCTCAGTCTGTTTTTTCCCCCATCAAATAGGAGTACTAATAACCATTATGCAGACTGTTAAAATAATAACATGCCTAAAATCCCCCCCTCAGAGCTTATACACAACACTAAATAACTGGTAATTTAAAAAAAATTATAGCACAAAATATCCTACCAGGGTTTCTACTGTTTGCCTTAACATCAGGGATATGAAGTTACTTAACCTCTGAAGTGTCATTTCTCTTAAAAATATATTGCCAACTTAACATGCTATTTCATAATTGTCTCAATTTGTGTTTCACTATAGCCAGAGTGAATGATTTTGTGTGTAAACCAGCTTATGAAATGATTTTGCCTTCTATTGGCATTTAGTGTTTTCTTAACAGGTAATTTGAGCTATTAACACAAGAAATTAATCAAATGTTATATTTGCTGTTATATACATAATCTGGTATTACATTTTTATATCAGACTTTATTTTCTCGGTATGTTATGTCTAAGGTGAGAAATAATTGTGATCTTTTTATGAATTTTTGCCTATATTAACAAATGACAATATTATGTATTCATTTCCGACTATTCTACCTCTTATTAATGACTTTTTATCTTATTAAATTCGTCTGAAATTCTGTAGTGTTAAATTATCATAGACTTAAGTTACCATCATTTTAAAATATTCCTGATTTTAATAGGAATATGTCCAGTGTTTTACCACTAATTACAATGATTTTATTCCCAAATATATACTGTTGATTGTGTCAAGGTTATGTCAAAATCATCTAAAAATTTTTTGAGTTCATGTGCATAGCAGTTTTCAGAATCATTATTGTTTGGTCATTTTCTGTATAGGATAATTTTCTAATGTCACAGAATTGTATAATTAAAACTGGTGCATACTCAGTATTCTGACTTGCCATTTTCAGTCACCACCATTTTACATATTGTTTCCTACAACCTATGTGTAAACTTCCTATTGTATATAATGCATAAAAAAGATTAAAAGAACTATCACCATATTAAGAATTATCCTTAAGTTATGGAATTATGAATTTTCATTTTATTCATCTGTTTTTCCAAATTTCTAAAATGAGATGTCCTACTGCTACCAGCAAAATAAAAAAAGTTGCCTAACAATATCAATGTTATATCAATTAAGGATGAAATGATTGAGATCACACGACTTAAGGAAACCTACTCATGTTGGGTGTTACTCTATTCATTATCTAGAGTCCAAATTATTTTGATGAAATGGAGCTGAAAAAATGGAATTAATGTTTAAAAAGCAATATGACTTGTAATTGTGCCTTTTTTTTTCATACTGGGGATCGAATTTAGGGGCATTTGATCACTGAGCCACATCCCCAGCCCTATTTTGTATTTTAGAGACAGCGTCTCACTGAGTTGCTTAGCACCTCGCTAAGTTGCTGAGGCTGGCTTTGATCTTGTGATCCTCCTGCCTCAACCTCCCAAGCTTCTGGGATTACAGGCATGCACCATTGTGTCCGGCTTGCATTTGCTTTTTGGAGAATGACAATATGTGAATTAAGACTTGGTGGGTGAGCGTGGTGATGCATACCTGTAATCCCAGTGGCTGGAGAGGCTGAGAAGGATCAAAAATCCAAAGTCAGTCTCAACAATCTAGTGAGGCCCTAAGCAACTTAGTGAGACCCTTTCTGAAAGAATAAAAGAAGAGCTGAGGATGTGGCTCAGTGGTTAATCATCTCTGGGTTCAATCCCCAGTAAGTGCCCCCCCCCCTCCAAAGAAAAAGGAACTTGGTGTATAACAAATGACTTTCCCATAACAGACATCAGAAAATCGGAAAAATCTTCAAAGGAAATTATAAGTACTAAACATGCACTTAGTTATTTAAGGGAATAAAATTAGCTTGGGGTGGTCCTGTAGGACCTGCTGACCCACTCTGGGTCCTCTTGGCTCCAATGGGGGGCCAGACACCATTGCATGCTATCTTTGTCCTGTCTGGGTTACACAGAAGTACAGGAAAGTATGCATTTATTCATTAAGGTACACATAAATGACAATCACTGGATTTGGTGTATTCATGTGTCTTCCACATGTAAGAAATATATCCTTTATTTTGATTTAGCCAATACTTTCTCTCTGAAATGAGATTTAGCTAATTTCAAAGCTCAGTACTTTTCAGATGTGGTTCCTAAGATACTGTGTACTTAAATATGAAAATCTCAATATTGTGATCATTGTTTATATAGATGTCCATAATGTCTCCTTTTTTCTTTCTATAGCTTTGGGCCAGATTATGTTGTACGTGGATGGGATGAACGGAGTAATAAACCACAATGAAACCATTCAGTGGCTGTACACTCTTGTTGGCTCAAAGGTAAGAGAAAATTATGATTGAATATTTTGTTCGGTTTGCATACCGTATGCCTTTCTTTTACCTTCTCTGAGATGGTTTGGAAAAATGAAATCCTGTCTCAGTATAAGGAGGATTACTACTTTACAAATCAAGTGTAATTTAAATCTGCAAACAGTTTATGAAATTTCAATTCGGCTTTATTCAGCTGTAATCAAATGGGTTTGGCACCTTTAGTTTTCAATGTTACAACATAATACTATAGCTGTAGAATCTATGTACCTCCTGTATTTCATGTTCTTATCTGTTAAGATACTTATGTACCTCTTCAAATGTTGTGCACATGTATATGCACATCAATATGTGTACATTAAAGAATTTGAGATTGCCTCTCCCATCAATTATAAAACCAACCAACATTTATTAAAGGTGTACCAGGCACCATGCTAGGTGTCTTACAAGCATAATCTAACTTAATCCTTGTGAAATCATTCTCAAGGAAATAATGTCCTTATTTTGTAGTTGAGGAAATCACACTTGGTTATAAGAATCTAATCAATTTTTCTTGGCATACACCTGCCCAGCTGTGGCTTTACTTGAGATTTCCCCCACACCCTGTGGAAGTGCTGCCAGGAGGCAGATCCACCTCTTCACTCAGTGTGCCTGAAGCTAGGTGAAGGTCTGGCCTTGTCCCCTTTAGGTTCTGGGTGGTGAGGATGTTAATGACCTGGCTGGAGGGTGTTGGGGGGAGAAGTGAAGAGTCCTGTCCTGGGCAGGTGTGTGGTGCAGCAAGGCTAGGGTAGGGGTGTGGGAGAGGAGAGAAGTTACCCTGGGCAGAGGGTTGAGCAGGGAGCATCTTGGGGACCAGATGTGGAATTTGAACAGATTGCAGAATGAACATAATTTTCTTGGGTCCTTGCAGGGGATGTGGTCAGCCAGACCCTCTCTATCCCATGTTCACTGCCCACCCTGACTTAGGCAAGACCATGGACGCTGGTTGAACCACATTCTCAGCTCTTGTTCCTTATGTTACTTCTTGGGGACTTTACTGTCCCCCAGATCACTCAGCTATGACTGATTAGTGTGTGGCCAGCGTGGTTCTTGTCTTGGGCTGTACATTCACTTTCAGGCTTCCAGGCTCCTGGCGATGGTGCCCTCATGTGGCAGGATAGCTTGTTCTCTGTGCACGCCTCCTGGGTCCCAGGGCCTTGATTTCCCCCCACCCCTGTTTCCTCCATTTTCCTTCCTCTCTATTACTGATGAGAATTTTTTTTTCCTGTTTCATAGTAGAAAAAGCTATGGTTTCTCTCAGGAGATTGAAAACCTGCCCTCCCTTTTCTTTTTTTCCTATGGAAAATGGAAGTGACTCTATTTTGAAACTGATACAAGTGACCTTAGGAGGATAGTGGAATGTTGAGTTTACTGGGATGACTTAGCCAGGCGGAGGGAAGATTAGTATCTGATATCCGGTTTCAGTGTTTGTGTTTTCCGTGTGTCTATTGGGAGCCCTTTTCAACCTGCATGTTCATTGATCCCTCCCCAAAGCTCCCTGAATGGTCTTGAGGACCTAAAAGCTAGTGAGATGGGAGGAAATTTTACAATAAAAATGGACTTTGTGGTACATATGACAACTGAATTAATAAATCAGTAGTTTTATTATAAGCTTATCATGGCTATAATAAACTCCAACAACCAGTCCTGGTCCTAAAAGATCATGAAACCTAGTATACTCAGCGGTAGGAAAGTGAGACTCTTATTACCTTTCCAGGAAGGAAATAGAATGAGGGCAAGATTGGGGTGGTGGGGTGGTGGGGTGGGAACAGGGAAGAGAATCAGTCTGGGCAGAGAAGATAGAGGGTGCCATGATCTGAGTGTGTCCCCCAAGCCATGTGCTAGAAAGTTGATCTTAATGTACCAGTATTGGGAGGTGTAGCTTTTGAGGAGGTGTTGAGGTATCGAGTCTCTACCCTCATCTTGGAAGTAGAGGGACTAAGTCCTCACCAGCTAGCACCTTGGTCTCGGATTTCCCAGCCTCCTATACTGTAAGAAATAAAATTCTGTTCTTGACAAACTACCTAGTCACAGGTATTTTGTTTTAGCAGCACAAACGGAGTAAGGGAATAAAGCACAATGATGGGAAGAGAAGTGAGAGAAGGTAACAGGGAGAAAAAGGAGATGAGTAAAAAAAGAACAGCGGTAATGAACACACCTCTTGGTGCCCAGCCTGTGGTATTGCAACAACTATGGGGCAATTGTTCTTTGGAATCATGTTGTAGGGAAAATAACTGAAACAATACATAGAAAAATCCTCACTGCATTTCTAACTAACATGGAGAAATCATTGGAAAGCCTCAAAAGATGAGTTTGGAGGAATTGTGCTTTCCCTGCAAGGCACACATAGTGTGTGCTTACTCTCTGGTTCCCCAGGGCTGCTTCCCCACCCAGCTGGGGAGCACTGGACCAGCAGGGACTTCTGTCTCCATCTTTAATCTTTCCAAAGGCAGGTTCGTAATAGTCACTGGCTCTTGACACCATGAGAACAGGAAAACAGCCAAGAGCCAGCCTGTGCCTTGGGGCTCCTACTGCTGTTAGACAGAAGGACCCTGGTGACACCCACAGCCCGTGTCCTAACTCAAGGTGATGTCAGACGAAAGTCTTGCGTGATCCTGCAGGGTATGCTCAGTTCCAGGCCAATGGCTGAAATTCAACAACAGCAGTAGCCATTAAATTTATTCTCTGGATAGTTCTAATGAAATCCCCTCTTTACAAAACCAGAGCACTATCTGCAGAGACTTCTCCCCAACACCACTCTGCATAGTGAAGCATCTGAAAGCAGTAGCTGCACCAAGACCTTAGGTTTTGAGAACAAAGTCTGTCCCCTCTCTAAATCTGTAAACTGGGGTGAATCAGCTGCAAAAGATCTTCCCAGCTCAAGTTGAGTTAAATCCAGGGTAGCCTTGGGTACCAGCATTTTCCTTTGACAGAGTCAAATTCTCTCTCACCTGAGAGCTTTGCTTTGATGTCCTCTTTGCCTTAAACAGGCACAGAGCTGATAAAGTAGTGGGTTAGAAAGACCTTGTCATTGTTTTCATAATTCTTTCCCTTCCATGAAAGGCAACAAGATGTGATTTTGCAGCCTGCCAGAGGGTCATTATGCAATGCATATTTGCAGATATTTGAAACTCATAGCCAGAGAAAACGAGGCACTTGAAGCCAAATAATGACTTTTTAAAAGAAAGAAGTGTTTTCAATAGTTTCTTTTTATTTATAAGAGCCCATCTTTAAACTTGCCAGTGAGAGGTGAGAGGCAGATGCCCATCCCATGACTGGTCACGGGGTGTGGGTTTTTTCTCTTCATACATCTGGAATTCTAATTAATTGAGGTAAGATGATTCATTACGTACAGCTTGGCCTTTCCCCACCCTAACTCGGTCTCTGGCCCACTGGGGTGGCTCCAGGGGCTTCATGACTAGCAAACCCTCACCTCTTTCCCAGTTTTCAGGGATACTTCTGATGCTTGCCTGCTCTGTATCTGATTCCTTCAGCTGTGCCCCAGGTTGCTGATCACACAGATCTCCAAACTTACTATGTACTGGTGTGGAGGTGGCCAGACTTCCCTCCTCCTGCAAAGTCCCTGCTATTGAACCTGAGTTGGGGGAGTCCTGGCCACAGTGCCTCTGTGTCTCAATGCTTGCTCCTTGGAGCTGTTGCTGAAAGTTTCCTATTGGGACAGTAGGACAAAGAAGTGACATGGCATGTAAAATGGGGGGGGGGGGTAGAGGAAGGAGAGATGGGCAGACTTAGGGATGGGGCAGTGTCACAACTGTGAGGTGACAGTGCCTGGTTCAGAGCTGAGCAGGAACAGGGAATGTTAGAACTGTGACATCTTGAGGAACGGGGTTTCTGGATGTAGAAAAATGAGAGCAAGTCAGCTCTGGGAAGCGGGGAGATGGCACTACCCCTGACAGGAGTGCAGACACTGAAAATTGGGATTCATTGGCATATTTGAACGCAGGTTAGAGATGAAGAAAATGCCCCTGAGGGGAACTCAGCAGGTGCCTTGTGCTGCCTATGCTCCAGGAAATAATGGCTGATCAAGGGGAAGAGTCTGAGAGCCCTGTGGTCTGCTGTCTGTGTTACTATGAGAACCACCGGAGATAACCCTCCACATAGTGAGATTTGTAGTATGATGTAACAGAATCCTAACCTTGAAGAGATGAAGTCACTTTAAAGATCCTCCTGACATCACAAGTCATTCTTGATACCACTATAGGCAGAAAGAGTGTTGTCTCCCTAGGTGAACCAGCCATTATTGGACTCTGGAATTGGTGAAAAGTTGCCTTTTGGGGAAGCATCTTTTCTGCCGTCAACCAATTACCTGTGCTTTGCTTGCTAGAGCAGCACACCTGGACTTCTCAGACTATCTAGCACTAGAAGGCATTTTTCTTGTAGCTCTGTTCAAACTGCATTCATGGTTTCTATGCATGTCCCTGGGGACCTGTTTATTCCAGTTTCTCATACTGGTGATGAGCTTTTCTGTGCATCCCAACAGAAAGACTGTAATATGCTGGCCTCTTGGGATAGAAGACATTTTTCTTACATAAATTCCACTCCTGCTTCCTTGTGTGTCTCGACTGCAGTCCTGGGCGCTGCCTCAAACTGAACAGGCAATCCACTAAACCTCCCAGAATTTTTTCCCCATACAACTAGGTCTGCCAGTTTTTTCCTGTTCATGTCTGTGATTGATTCATATCTAAATGCAGAGCTTTGCATTTTCCCCCTCATTGATCAGACCCAGAGGTCCAGCCTCAAGCTGATGGATTTTATTTTATCATATTAACTGTTGGTGCTAGTGTTTTTTAACACAAATTTAATAAGCAAAACTTATCTCTCATAGATGGAGATGGGGAATGGGACAGCAATAAGGCGTACATAAATTGCTGCAGCCTGCATGTTGACAGAGATGGGTCAGGACACTTGGGGCCATCGTGCAGTCAGAGGGGAAATGTCTGACTCAACCACAC